TATATATATATATATATCTTTTTTAAAAAAAAAAAGAGTAAGTAGTCTAGCCTCTGATCTACCGAGGTATGCATCTTGGTTTTGAGCACAGACTAGCTTACATGTTGTTTTTAACATATTTTCACCTATTGATGTTGTGAGTCTGGAAGACAGAGGTACAGTGCCTTGATATGTGAGCTGGCATTTAGGCCTCCCTGATGATGTTGGCCCTTCATGGAATGGCCGGGGAGCTGGGGGTTGTTGGTGTTAGCAAACTTAGGAAGTATACCTGCTGACTGTCTCATACTCCATAAGTGTTAGAGGCTGCCCCTTCCTCGAAGCCAAAGCTCCCTCTTTGAGCTGAAGTCTTTCTAGACTTCAAAGGATCCCTTTTAAAATATAGTTAAGTAGCCGGGCGGTGATGGTATACTACTTTAATCTCAGCAGGTGGGTCTCTGAGTTCAAGGCCAGCCAGAGCAAATAGAGAGACCCTGTCTGAGAGAGAGAGAGAGAGAGAGAGAGAGAGAGAGAGAGAGAGAGAGAGAGAAGCAAGAAGGAAGTTTCTCTAGTGTCTTCATGAAGAGGCACCTCTGGATAAAATAATGGTCACAGGTGAGCTGGGATGTTGGAGGTCAAGTTGCCACAAGGGAAAGAAAGTGCATGGGAGGAAAGGAAGGGTCCACCAGCTGGGTCAGCTCATCACAGTTACCTGCACATGCCTTAAGAGTCCTGAGTTCCTGGACAGACAGAGGGAGGGCCTCTTAGCCCAACCTAATCTCTAGGGTGTCCCAGTTCCAGAAAAGTCTAAAATAGCTTCAGATGAATTTTCTTATCTCTCCTAAGGCAAAGAATACGAGGCTGTGCTTTATGCTACCAACTTGTCCTTGAATTTTAGGAGCCGATAAAGCTTAGCAAGATCAAAAAGGTCCCCCTCTGTGGCTCCAGGCAGCATTGCTCGGACACTTGCTGCAGGTGGAGAGGGTCACGGACGGGGTTGTGAACATGTCCTTGGTTTATTATCTGTGGGTACCATGCCCACATGCTGGAGTCTGCTGTCTGCCATGGGCAGGGAGTGGGGGCAGGGCAATAGGTTTCCTGATGCCATTTTTTCTCTTCAACAAATATCTAATCATAAAAGGAGATAGAGAGAACGGACATTTAAACTGCCAAGCTCTGAGCACTGGGAGTAGCTGCTGTGGAGACTGTGATGGGAATTTGGAGTTCCGTCCCACACTGGAAGGCGAATCATGACAGAGGAACTGGGGCTCCTGATGGGCACTCTTGTGCCACTCTGCCTGGGCACTCTGATCTCCCTCTCCTCCTGGCTGGCTTCCATCAGCCCTGGCGGTAATTGCAAGTCATTTCTCTTGAGTGGGCCCAATGCTGGCTGAATGTTCTAGGGCGGGCAGCTTGGAGTTACTGTCTGTCTAATGCGCGTGAGCAGCAATGTGAATCTCAGTCTGCCAGATTACAGTTTAGCACCTCATGTATTCATTCACTTGGGCATTCGATGCATATTATTAAGCATCTTCTATGTGCCAGGTAAGACAGTTCTTATAAAGAGAGAGAGAGAGAGAGAGAGAGAGAGAGAGAGAGAGAGAGAAGCCACAGACACAGCAGGAAGGTCCATTCTGTAACTTAGAGAAGTGATAATGTGATCCAGGGGAAATGGGGAAAGTGGGAGCAGTGGCCCCTGTAAAAATAGGGATCGCTGATAAAATGACCTTTGAGCAAAGATCTGAGGTTTACTCTGTGACTATGGAGGGAAAGCATTGCAGAGGGTGGAGGAGATGAAGTGTGTGCAAATGCCCTGAGGTGGGTGTGCGCCAAGTGGGGAGACCAGGGCAAAAGGAGCAGGGTGAAGGATGAGGAAGGGAGGTTAAAGATACAGAGGGGAGTCAGACTGTGGTAGTTTTGTGCTCTATTGGAGAGAGTTTGGCTGCTATAGTCAGGAAAATGGTGGGTCTTGGAGGATCTTGAGTATCAGACATGTTCTGACCTCTTTTAAGGGATACTCTGGTTATTTATTGTGTTGTATAAATTGTAGGTTGCAGTAGCAGAGTGTTTTGTTCTCCATTTTTAATATTGCTCTGGGTATCCAAGTTATCTCTTGGTAGCCTTGCAAGTGTTCATACTCACACACGCACGCACACACACACGCACACACTCATGTGCACAGGCACACATACAGACACACATGCACACAGATGGGGGACACGCGCCAGTTATGTTGGTAGCATATACCCGTGATCCCAGCACTTGGGAAATAGAGGCAGGGGGATCAGTATTGAAGGCCAGACAAGGCTTTATGAAGCTCTGTCTGGGAAAAAAAAAAAAGTAAAATTCATTTTACTGTTTTTTAACCAATTAATGTGAATAATTGAGGAATGCTGACAATATATAGAAACATATAAAGAAATACACACAAAATCATACCCTGACTCTCTGAAACAACCACTATTAATGTTTTGGCATGTTACTTCCAACCTCTTTGCTGGGTTTTTTTCCCCTCTAGTCTGTTGAAATGTTTAAATTAATTACTATTCTAAGTTACTTTACCATGTAATCAGAAACTGGAGATTCTCAATGGTGCTCTGTCTCAAATAGATGTCCCTCCAGTTTAGGACATGTGAGTTACATTTTGTTTTATCTCTTGGTTTGGGTTTTTGGGGACTGTCTCTCATGTAGCCCAGGCTAGCTTCACATTTCCTGTGTGACTGAGAGTAAGGATGATCCACCATTTAATTGGTTTCCATTTTTTTCCTCTGACTAGTAACTATGTATCGTTTGTCTACATGTCCTTGCAAGCTGAGACAGAACTCGGCTGCCACCCCCAATCCCCTCCCCCTCACCCCTCATTTCCCACCCTACCCCTTCCTGCTTGCAGCGTAGATTACAGCTCACAACAGATTCCTAGGCCCAGAAAGATGGCTCAGGGGATGACAGGGTGCCACACAGCTGGGACATGGCTATCCAGAATAGGCGATGCCTGAGAAAAAAAAAGCTGAATAAGCAGGGGAAAGTACCGGCAAAGTGGAAAAGGAACCAAATGACAACTGTTATTAAAGGATTAATAGTCTACGAAGTTCAACTGAACTCTAGCCATTCCTACAGCAGTAAACCTGGCAGTTCCCCAGAGGTGGCCACAGTGGTTGCCTTGTCCATTGTATATAGTTGTTGTTTTTTTGTTTTTAATTTCCTGGTTGGTACTTCCAAGCATCTCGCCAAATATCTCCTGTTTCAACTGTCACTTGAGATTCTCTTGCCTCAGCCTCCCAAGCCCTGGGGTTTCACATGTAAACTGAGTGGCTGTGTATCCCAGCCATCCCTCATGGGTCTCCAAATCCCCTGCACCCTGGCAAGATGCTCTCCTCCTGCCTTAGGCCTCTTGCGTGCTGGGTTTTAAAGAGGCACCCCTGCTCCAGCCCACCTGGTCTGTTCTCCAGGCTCTGTTTCCTGGGCCAGTCTTAATGGCTATCCATTTCCCCTGAAACCTGGCATGCACGTCCATGCAGTTTCCAGGTTTCCCGTGTATTGGTGTCAACAGAACGATCCCCACCCTGCTCACTTCTATGGCAGTTTTCCCAGGCTCAAGTTCCCCCTGTTCATTAGCCTCAGAGGCAGTGAACCCAACAGTTCAGGGTTGGAAACAACATAAAACCTCTCACAGTCCTCTCTCTGCTGGGAATTTTTCCCTGTGACACTCTGCATCTCAGAGGTGACATTTGTGATTCTCTGTGACCATTGGAAAGGGGCAGGGACCTAACAGGCAGCAGCCCACTCTGCACCATCTTTTTGGCACTCCTTGTTCCAACCCTCTCTGTTGTTCCCTGCGGGAGCCTGACTGAAGGAAGTCTACCTCCCAGATGCCGTCTACATGGCCAGCCTGGCTGTCTGGGAGTCTCTCATCTCTTGAGGATAGTGGCAGGACTGGAAGATAAAAGGATGGCTCTGTGTGCCACAGAGACTACTGCCTTGCTGAGCCAGGAAGGGTTTTACCCTGGCCCAGCAGGTGGGTAAGGCCTGGGTGTGACCTAAAGCACTTAATTCCTCTGTCACCTGCTCTATGGGCCCCAGTCCCTGCTGGTGGTCTCAGTGTCACCTCTCACCTGCCTCCATGGGTATGTCACTTGGGATTGGAAGAGACTACAGTGGGGGCTTCTAAACACGGGACCAACAGTAGCAAATGGAAAATTCATTTATTGTTTAGCCTTCCCTATCCATTAAAAACAACAAAACAAAACAAAACCTGTGACTCACCCAAAGTTGTCCTGCAATCATTGGAAAGGTTAATTAGAATCTAGTTTCCCCCGGAATTCCCGAATGCATTCCTCCACCCTCTTCCGGGTAGAAGGCACTGAAGCCGTAGGCTTTGTCATCCAAGGGGGGAGCTAGGAAGGGGTGAAGACCAATTTGGAAGTAATTGGAAGCTGATTAATACAATTAGAGCACTCTTCTTTAGCCTGGCCTTTCTCTTGCGCTTTCACACACATCCTGATTAGACCCAGGGAGAGCCTGTGCCAGCTGATGAGGGCTGAGGTTCCCGCAGTGTGTAGCTTAGAAGGGTACTTAGGAAATGCTTGTTGATCCAAAGGGAAATTTGCAAAGGAAAGCCCCCTGATCATTTCAGAGCCTCTCCCCAGCAGGGTGCCTTTGATTTGACTCCCTGGTCTTATCACTGGTGATCTGACTGGGGGGAGGGGCACTGAAGCTGGAGTATATCCCCTTCCCCTCCCTCTCCTGTTTGTTGATTGACTGAAAGAGAAACTTGTGAGCAGTGGTGGGTGGTGCGGGTAGGGAGGGAGGAGTGAAAATAGGAAAGCATCTTTTGCTTCGGCCCACTCAGCCTGCAGGTGAATGGTACTCCAAAGGGGTCCACAGAGCCATCCCTCATCTGGACCTCACAGACCTGAAGATAGATGGAAAGTATCAGGGACTTCCCCCTCCCCATCAAATTGCCCTGTGACTGCTGAGCCCAGCACCTCAGCACCTGCCTCCCTGGCTGGCAGCCTGTGTCACTCCAGGCTGCCATCTGCCTCACCATGCTGGGTGCCTCCATTGCTTGCAGTTTGGATTTTTGCTGCAAACAGCTTTGCCTGAGGGCCCCTTTCACAGGCCCGTGAGCACACTGAGGAGTGGGTGGCTGGTGCCGGGACAGGTGGCTGCCTGAATACCCTACCATCTGTGCCTGGCTTGCTCTGGGCTGCTGTAGCGACATTCCTGGGGGACCTGGATGGCCACACTTCCTCAGTGTGTTGTTGGTCACCTCCCACGCTGCTTCATCTCTGTCAAACAGCCCCCTGTCGCTGCTGTCTCCTGGCCTCCCACACAGACACAAGTGGCAGCAGGAGGTTCCTGGAACCCACCATGTCCCAGAGCAGGTTGCCTATCTGGCCACCCCCACCAGTAGCATCCTCACAGACAGACTGAACCATTCCCACCCTCCTATCACTTGCTTCAAGTGCCAGTCTGAGCCCTGCACAGGAAATTTTACCGAGATGCCAGCAGACCCTAAAGAGAAAGGACTTCTTTACCATCCCAGTGCAGCCCTCCATGCTAACTGTACACATACTCGAGTGAGCAAGTGAGCACGCAAGTAGACACACACACACAGCAGAAAGACACATCCAAAGAGTGAACATTCTTCTTCCTCACAGTGTCCCAACAAGGCACTTAGATCTTTTGTCCCCATGACAGATGGAATAATGGAGGCTCAGAGAAAGGTTACTTGTCCAAAGATCCCAACCAGTGATTAATGGAACCAGGAGTTGATGCTAGATATGTCTTCCTCCAAAACACCTTCTAACAAGACAGTCTTCTCGTCATTCATTCATTCATTCATTCATCCATTCACATAACACCCTTGGGTATTTATTGTGTGCCTGGCACTGTCAGGCCCATAGAAAATGATAATGAACAAAGCATCCAAATGTCCCTTTCCTGTGCTTTTGTTTTATCAGGGGCAGCACAGGTGAGAAACTTACAATAAAACATAAGCAAACTAGTAAATAAGGAAGGATGTCTTTGGGTTACTGCTGTTGTGATGAAACATCATGGCCAAAGCAAGTTGAGGAGGAAAAGGTTTATTTTATTTGGCTTATACTTCTGAATCACTGTCTGTCTTAGGGTTTCTATTAATGTGAAGAGACACCATGACCATGGCAACTCTTTAAAAAAAAAAAAATGGTTTTTCAAGACAGGGTTTCTTTGTTTAACAGTCCTGGCTGTCCTAGAACTCACTCTATAGAACAGGCTGGCCTCAAACTCACTGAGATCTGCCTGCCTCTGCTGCCCAAGTGCTAGGATTAAAGATGTGTGCCACTACCACCCAGCAAACATGGCAACTCTTATAGAGGAAAAGCATGTAATTGGGGTGACCTACATTATCTTCATGGTGTGACATGGTGACATGCAGGCAGGCATGATGCTGGAGCTAAGAGTCCTACATCTTGATATTCAGGCAACAGGATGTGACCCGAGACACTAGGTGGTATCTTGAGCATATATGAGACCTCAAAGCCCGTCTCCACAGAGACACACTTCCTCCAACAAGACCACACTTCCTAATAGTGACACTCCCATTTGGGGCCATTTTCTTTCACCACCACATTCCACTCCCTGGCCCTTATGATCTTATTGCAATATCATAATGCAAAAATGCATTCTGTCCAACTTCAGAAGTCCCCGTAGACTATAACAGTCTCAACAATGTTTAAGAGTCCAAAATCTCTTCTGAGATTCATGCGATCTCTTAACTGTAACCCCTGTAAAATCAAAATCAAAAAGCTGATCACATACTTCCAATATATAATGGCACAGGATATACATTACCATTCTAAAACATAGGGGAAAGCAGCATAGCAAGGAAACACTGGACCAAAGCAAGACTGAACACCAGCTGGGCAGACTCCAAACTCTGTATCTCCATGTCTGATGTCAAAATGCTCTTCAGATCACCAATTTCTTTCAGATTTGTTGACTACAACACACTTCTCTCTCTTGGGCTGGTTCCACTTCCTTTTGGCAAATCTCTGTGGCAGGTATCCCACAGCTCTGGCATCTTCAACATCTTGGGGTCTCCAAGGCAATCCAGGCTTCTCCTTCACAGCTTCACTCAATGCCCTCTAGACCTCCATTCAGGGACATCTCTGACACATGCCTGGCCTCAGCAGCTTTCTTTAGGTGTGGAGGCAAATTCCATAGCCCATTTCTTCCATCCTTAACTCTAAAACCAGAACCACGCAGCTGAAGCTGCCAAGTTCTGCTGCTTACTGGGGCTGGAACATGGCCCCTTCATTCAATGACCTCTTCACCAGCTTTCCATTTTCCACCTTCGCCACTAATCTTGGTTGTCCTTGAACTTGCTCAAAAATCTGCCTGTCTCTGCCTCCCAAGTGCTGGGATTAAAGGTATGTGCCGCCACCACCACCTAGCTAGTCTGTTAACCTTCATGTTGCAACATGGTGGCTTGCAGGCAGACATGGTGCTGAGAAGTAGCCAAGTGTCCTACATCTTGGCTTGCAGGTAACAGGAAGTGGTCTGTCTAACTGGGCATGGTTTGAGCATATATAAGACCTCAAAGTCAGTCTCAACAGTGACATACTTCCCCCAACAAGGCCACACCTCCCAATAGTGCCACTCCCTTTGGGGGCTATTTTCTTCCAAACTACCACAGTGCTCATCATCAAATAAAGTTAGGGAGCCTGCAGGCATACATGCAGGCAGAACATTGTATACATAATAAATAAAAAAAATAAAGTTAGGGCAGGAACTCAGACTGGGAACTTGGAGGCTGGAGCTGATGCAGAGGCCATGGAGGAGTGCTGTTTATGGCTTGCTCCTCATGGCTTGCACAGCCTGCTTTCTTATAGCATCCAGGACCCCAGCTCAGGGGTGGCACCATCCATAATGAGCCAGGCCTTCTCACATTAGTCACTAAGAAAATGCCCTGCACGTTCGTTATTATGGAGACATCTTCTCAATTAGGTTCCCTCTTCTCTGATGACTCTAGCTTATGTCAAGTTGATATAAAAATCAGCTGGCACAAATGACAATCTGTTGAATACTGAAAGGGAAAGATCAAACACAGGGAAGGGGTCGGGACAAAGTGGGAAGGATACCATGGTGCCATACTCATTAGGATGATGGTTCTAAGATAGTAGAAAATCCCCAATGTTGGTGAGGGGTGTGGGAAACCTGGACCACTCTGCACTGCTGTAAAAACACAAAGCAGTGTGGCTGCTATAGAGAAGAATGTGGCTGGTTCTTAACACATTACCTAGTATGTCTACATAATGGATGCTTATATCCATTTATTTAGGTGGAATATCGAGTTATTTCACCTAAGTTAAAAGTAGAGACTCAAATAGATACTACACACACACACACACACACACACACACACACACACACACACACACACCAGCAGCAGCAGCAGCAGCAGCAGCAGCAGCAGCAGCAGCACAGTGGACACCACCCAAATGCCCATCAGATAAGTGGCTAAATGAAATATGTTACATACATCACTCGCTTTATGTGGCCTCCAAAAGGAATGCAATTGTGACACAGCCTACAACATGGATGAACTTCGAGGTTATGATGTTGGACACACACTGTGGGATTCCACTTAAGTGGGGCAGTGAGAGAGCTTACAAATCCAGGGAGACAAAAAGGGGATGGTAGATGCCAGTGGCTGGGGGCAGGTGGTTGGTGTGTTATGGGTGCAGAGCTTCAGTTTGGGATGTGGAAAAGAGTCGTTCTGGTAGAGGGTGGAGTATATTAGCACAGAAGTGTTTATTCGCTTAACGACCCTGAACTGCACACCTAAAAATGGCTACAGTGGCAAACTTTATTGTTAACCACAGTTGAGAAAATAACTGGATGGGCCAATATATGTGCAGGTTACTTTTCTTGTGGTTGTAACTAAATTACCTGACCAAAGCAACTTGTGAAAGGAAAAGGGCTATTTTGTTTCACAGTTTGAAGGTACACAGTCCATCACCGCAGGGAAGGCATGACAGCTAAAATGTGATGTGACTGTCATGCTGTGTCTGTAGTTAGGAAGCAGAGAGAATTTTGGGGGTGGCCAGTAATTGTATCCGTTTGGGACTCTGCCTGTGGGATGGTACTGCCCACATTTAAGGTGGGTCTTCCCTCTCAGTGAAAGCTCTCTAGAAAATTCTTGTGGTTACATCCAGAGCTGTGTCTCCTAGGTGACTCCAAATCCAGTCAAGGTGACAATGAAGACAAACCTCTGTGGACCCTTTCCAGAAAGTTGGATTTTGGCATAGACTTGAGGCAGGTGTAATGAGGAGGCTAATGGCCCTCTGGGCAAAGAGCAGAACTACAAAGTGGAAAACCTCTAATGTGCGTTATGTCCATAGAGCTGAGGGTCCCCACCCTGTAGTGCTGGGATCCCCTGAGGCAAGTATTAGGGCCTGGCCCCCAAAGCCTCAGCTGGTGTTCATCCCATCTCCCACCCTGCCTATCAAGCCCGTGTTGTTATGATTTGGCTCCGTCCTACGCATGCCAATAGGGAGTGGGTGAAACGCTAGGCAGAAGCATCTGAATTTGCTCTTTCTCTTACACTAATTTGAATAGAATGTGATCCAAATTTCCAGCTTGTTTTTCAGATGCCAAATGACACTGGCTGGCACAGTTGTACCCCTCCCCCTGGCCAGCTGTCTCACAGATGGGGATTTAGGAGCTGAGGGCGGACCCTCACTTTAGGAAGTATTTATTGAGCTCCTAGGCAGTGCCCAGCCCTGGAGCAACTCCCCATTTCCTTTCCTAAAGAAACAATTTAGGACTTACATACCATAGGGTTGCCAGAGAGTACTTTTGCTGGCACAGAGAAGCAGGAGGGGACGGCCTTTGCTGGGATCTTCCTTCAGGGTTGGCACAAAGCTCAAAGACGGGCATTAGTGTCCCCATTTTGCAACCAAATGAAGGATCTGGGGCCTTTGGTGACAAGCGTAAGGTGGTCCTGCCAGGAATGGAGAGCTGTGTTGTGATCCTGGAATGTCAGTGATACCTGGTCTCCTGACAAGTTTATAAGCTTTATTTGAAGATGGTTCTTGAATTGTTCTGTGTAAGATACTTCATGAACATGTTAGATGTCACTGGCACATACCTAAAGACAACAGGAAATTACCCGAATCAGACAAAATAAGAAGCTTGAATTAGTGATCTGGAGAAATATCTGTACCATCTTTCAGAGAGCAGGATAAAAAGAAAAGGAAGAGGAGGAGGAGGAAGAAATAGTAGCCAAACAGGATGAGAGGAGAATGAGTGAGAAAGAGAGGCCACTGGGGCCTCAGAATGAGAGCTTTTCCCAAGAGGAACAAAACAGATTGAAAATGAAGCAATCACCACACATGCCATTGAGAAGCACATCCCGGTATCGAAGACCCCCAAGCTCCCCCACCTGAGAGCTCTGAGACCCAGGGGCCAGTGGTGGCACTTCAGCTGGGACTGTGTTTAAACACTGGCATATTTGTTGTTCTGGGAATTGAATCAAAATTGAGGCGCTTCTCTGAGAAGACCTGGCTTGCTATAATTGGCCTGTGCAATTTTCTGCTCACAGCCTCTATTCATTTCCTGTGTGCAGCCCACTCCATCTGGGGCCAGAGTGTGGCTTCCCCTCCAGACACCACCTGAGCATGCTCCCTGAGACCTGCATCAGAAAAGGGAGGGGAGGTCAGTGTGGGCATTCAAAGGATTTCACGCTGCTTATAAATTCAGAGTTAAGGGGGAGCATTTGCAAAGTGTTGACAATCCAGTGGTAGCAAAAGCTCAGGAATCCTTTTCCCTGTGGATTTGCTGATCTAGTGGGAACAGTCAGGATGGGGGGGGCGCGGAGACAGCATTCTGGACGGCGGGGGGAGGGGGGAGCCCACGGACCTTTGAGGGCTTATGAGGACTTCCCCACATCCCAGATAGCATGGGAGCTGCAGGCCTGGAGAGATAATCCTGAGGGTGGGCTGCAAGGCTACAGGGAGAAGTTAGGGCTGGAGTCAAGGTCAGCAAGCCTACCCCTGATGCAGGGGCATAGCTCTCTGCTTGCCCATCAGAACTCTTTGGTGCCACTACCTTGTGACACTGGCAAGCTCCCCTTGTTGATTACCGGTGGGGAATTGTTACATGAGCAGCCCCTTGCCCAGAGGCTTCATCATGGAAACCAAAGTATTCCCTCTGGTTCTGAAAATAATCCAGCCATGGCGTTTAAATAATCAAAACAAACAAACAAACAACAAAAAACAGACAGCACCCTCACAGTATTTTTCCCCCACTGCAGCCTTTCTTTCCTATGGGCTGGCAGTTGCTAGTCTCCTAGCCTGACCTGGTTGTTCAAAGCCCACTTGAATTGAAGAGGAGGCTTGCTCAGACCCTGGAAATTCAGGGCTCCATGGTGCTGTGAGCTCCCTGTCCTGGGGCTCAGAGGACAGAGCATCCTGAGGGCTCTGCCTTAGTTTCCAGTGTCCTGGAGAGGTTGTGGTTTTGCATCAGGGGCACAGAGCTCTGAAAGGAGATAACCATGCACCAGGGAGGCCCAGGGAGCAGGAGAGTCTGCCTTCCAGAAGACGGCATGCTCCCACTGGGGTTGAGGGTACACACACAGTGCATTTTAAATTATCCTGAGACTGATGGCACTGCTGTGGGGAAGGGATGGCTCTCAGTGGTCAAGCCCTTGCCTGACATGCCTCAAACACAGGACTCTATCCCAGCACCACCAAAGAAGAGGAAAAAGAAGTGTTACTCTTCAAAATTCAAATGTGCTAATACCACCTGGGAGGGGTCTCAGCCTTCAGTTAACACCTCAGCTAGGAGCTAGCGCTTTGGGAAGATGAGAGCTGGAGAGTTGTCTGGGAAGGGAGAGGAGCAGCCAGGGAGAGGCTGCTGACAGCTCTGCCGGCTGGCCCTGGTTCTCCCACACCCCTCCCGTGGTTGCAGACTCCAGTTCATGCAGAACACTGAGGGCCCTGTGCTGGAGGGAAGGAGCACTGGAGGCGGGGGCAGGGGGAGCAGCCTGTCTCCAAGAACACTTGGTTTTTGTCCCCCAAGCTCAGTCTGAACACATTAAGAGGTGGTTGATCAGTGCCATCTGAATAATACCCACAGCTTCCTCTCTAGGGGCGATGGAGCAAGCCAGAAGATGGCTAAGCACTCCCTCCAAACAAAACAAGCTGCAACAGAGAACAACTTGAAGGAGGAGGGCTAGGGGAAGAACCTCCTGGGCAAGCACGAGGACCCATGTAAAACCATGATGACCTACCTGTAATCCCCAGAGGCAGACAGGTGAATCCCTGGGCCTCCATGGCAGGACTCTGTCTCAAAATCCAGGGTGGTCACAGCCAGCAAGGTGGCTCAGCAGGTAAAGGCATTTGCTGCCAAGTCTGACCATTCAGGGTTCAAGTCCCAAAGTCCGCATGGTATATGGAGAGAACTGACTCCTGCAAACTGTCCTCTGTCCCCACGAGTGTGATGTGTCACAAACATAAATTAATGTTTTCTTCTAAGAGAGGCAGCCAGTTCCTTGGGAATGGCTTTGCACCTGAGGTTGGACATCTGACCTCTACATACACATGCATTTACATTCAATGCAAATTTGCAAACACAAGCACACACACCCGTATACATACACACAAAGTTCAGAGGTGGGGGAGAGAGAGATAGAAAGGGTAAGAAAGTTGTCCTGGTGTGGTGGCGCACGCCTTTAATCCCAGCACTTGGGAGACAGAGGCAGGCCAGTCTCAGTGAGTCTGACCAACCTGGGCTACGTAGTGAGACCTTGTGGTTTTACTTGTTTATTTATTTTGAGACAGGGTCTTACTGTGTAGCTCTGGCTATTGTGGAACTCACTGTGTAGACCAAGCTGGTCTTGAACTCACTGAAATCAGCCTGCCTCTGCCTCCCAAGTGCTGGAATTAAAGGCATGCCCCCTTATGCTCAGCAAGACTTTGTCTTTAAAAAAAAAAAAAAAAAAGGTAAGAAAATTAAGTATGCTAGAATAGCAAACCTTGCCAGTTTTCAATTTTGTTGGTTGTCATAGATATATGATTGACTGACTTACTGATTGATACAAATTATATATTATAACTTTTTGAATATTCAAAGCAGTTCTGTTTTATCACTTACATTATAATAGAAAAATAATTAACTCCTCCATCACCATGAAAAATGAGGTTAATTTGTAGCCATTTGGTTTTTACTGATATAGTCTGGAACTTTGGATCCAGTTGTTCCCTGACTCTTTCATAGCTACTGTTGAAACATAATTTCTTTCATATTATATTTTGTAGGTCTGTTCCTGTCACTATGTAAACCACATCCTGCCTTTAGGTCCTTGGGTACTGAATTTTCTAGTAGCACAGTCCCCTCTCCCACCTCCTGGCTTTTGACCCTTTTAGTCCCTCTGAGTCAGCTGAGCTGCCATACCTTTGAGCAATGTTTTTTTGTTGTTTTGCTTTGTTTTTGTTTTTCTCTTGCTGGTTAGTCCACTGCTTCTGCCAGTCCTATTGAATGAAAGAATAGAGAAGGGCAGATGCCAACCTCTTCCATGGTTGCATATGTGACCTGCTTTACATTCTTCTCAGAGCAGGAATAGCCCTGAGCACCATCTGGCAAAGGTGCTTGCCACGACTCCTGATGACTTGGGTTCAATCCCTGGATCCCACATCATGTCAGCAAAGAAGGGAGTCCTGCATGCTGCCCCCTGACCTCCACACATGCACTGTGGCACACCCCAACACACAAATAATAAAAGTGTGGATTTATTTTAATTTTTAAAAAGACAACCTGAGGGGCTGAAGAAATATCTCAGTGATTAAAAGCACTTGGTACTTTTATAGAAAACCTGAGTTCAATTCCCAGCCCCCATATCAGGCAAGTCACTGTCATCTGTAACTCCAGCTCCAAGGGACCCAACACCCTCTTCTGGGCTCTAGGAGCAACTGCACTCACATGCATATGTACACAGAGAGAGAGAGAGAGAGAGAGAGAGAGAGAGAGAGAGAGAGAGAGAGAGCGCGCTCCCCTCCTAGCTTCTCTCCCCCACCTCTGAACTTTGTGTGTATGTATATGGGTGTGTGTGCTTGTGTTTGCAAATTTGCATTGAATGTAAATGCATGTGTATGTAGAGGTCAGATGTCCAACCTCAGGTGAGAGAGAGGGAGGGAGGGAGGGAGGGAAGGAGGGAGGGAAGGGGAGAGGGAGAGGGAGAGAGAGAGAGGATAGCATTAGAGTTGAAATACATTTTTTAAAAAGAAAAGAAAACCTGAGCAAATACCCTACGGTGTCTCATTAGGAATTCTGGTCTCTGTTCAGCTTGAACAGGTCTGAAAGCCATAGGACAGCAGGTGATTCAGCCATTAGAACTTTGGGCTTGAACAGGCCTGACCTGGTTGGAGCCACAGATATTTCCTAGCAAACACGTACTTAGAACAAGCTTGTCTGTCCCATCAGTCAGTCTCACATGGGCCGCTATGCTGGTCACCCTTCCATTACTATAACAAATAGGTACTATGGTCACCCTGTGAGGAAGAAAGGTTTGTTGTGGCTCACATTTGAAGGTTTCAGTCTGTGATGAGACAGGCCTGTGCTGTTAGGCCTCTGAGCAGGAAATGGGAGAAAACAAAGCAATACTGCCCACCAAGTGAAGAGCAGAGGAGGGGGCTCCAGACTCACCATCTGCTACAAGGGACATTGCCACACTGATCTGAAGACTACCTGCTAGGCCCCACCTCTTAAAGGTCCTCCCACCTTCCAATGGCACCCTGGCCTGGGAACCAATCCTTTAGCACAGGAGTCTTTGAAGGGTATCAAAATGCTAGCAATCCCAGCTTGACACTCTTGGCTGCCAATGTGCCTTTCTCTTCCCTTTCTCTTCCCTTTCTCTTCCCTTTCTCCTCCCTCCCTCCCTCCCTCTATTTAGTAGTTTATTTTGCATTTTTAGTTTCCATGGAGGAACACAGTTACATTGCAGAGCACGCTCAGTGACTCCTCAGACTCACCGAGTTTTTTTGGACAGATACATACAGGTTCCTTGTTGGAATGGTCCTTATTCTGTCGGTGTGCACACTGTGGTTCCCATCTTTGTGGCAAATTTCTCCAAGTTCTTGGGGTACTTCCAGAAGCCCACTCCTCAGGTTCACTTGTTGATGGCAGGTCACCCTTCACTTCTTTGAAAAAAAGCAGTCTTCCAGGCCCAAGTTGAAAACAAGGGAAGCACTAGGGATTGTGGGAAAGAAAGCCACATTGCAAGTACCACTTCTGGGTCACTGAGTTGGGGAGAAGGGGCTAGATTTACTGTGGCTTTGCTTTATTTTTAGGATTCATTCATTTATTCGTGTGTGTGTGTGTGTGTGTGTGTGTGTGTGTATGCATGCATATATACCGTGTACATGCAGGAGCTCCAGGAGGCCAGAGGGTGTTGGGTCCTCTGGAACTGGAGTTACAGGCAGTTATATGCCACCTGGGAACCAAACTTGGGTCCTCTGCAAGAGCAGTAATTGCTCTTAACTTCTGAGCCACCTCTCCAGCCCCTCCTCCCATGGCTTTTCATACCCCAATTGTCACCACAGAAACCTAGCTACTATCCAAAAGCCTCAGGGAATAACATGGTTTCCTCCAGCTATGTGGTGCCCCAGGCCTTTTTCTTTCCTCTCTCCAGTCTCAGCTTTGCTCACTTTTATCTCTCTGTTTCCCACAGTTAAAGTCCTGGCTCTTGGAGGCTGGGTGGGGACAACAATTGGGGCGGGGGGGGGCATGTCTTCTCCTATCTTGCTCCACTTACAAAGACATTTCAATTTCTGCATTCCTTCCCTCTCCTGTGCCTTAGCTTCTCTCCCTGAAGCCACACCCAGACCCACCGTTCCAGCCAGACACTGCTCCAGCTCCCCACATGTGGGCCTGCCATGCAGCTCAAGGATTCAACATCAACATTCAATTACAGATCTGTTATGTTTTTCACTTTAATCAGAGGAATGCATGTGGTTTAGAAGGAAAAAAAATCAAATTGTTTGGCCAAGTGTCAGCCAGGAGAGGCAGCCGCACGCTAGGCCTCCCTCACCTAGCCCACGGCATTCACTGCTCACGTGCTTCGTCTAGTCATTCTCCTTGTGACCCACTGTTCACGTGCTAGGTTTTGTCACTCTCCTTGTGATCCGCCAACACTAGATGCCCACTGTTGACTCATGCTGTCAGAGGTGAGGAGCCTGGCCTCTGTTTCCTCTCTCCCCTCCTAGCTTCTGATCATTTTAGCATTTTTAGCACCTTAATTACATTTATAACTTTATGTGATATTGTGACCCCCCCCAAAGCATTGTATCCACCCACCCCGGGAGCTGTGGCTGTGGAGGCTTCTATCCCTTCCTCCCTCCCTCCCCGCTGCTCACTTCTCTGCTTTTCTAGATCTTACCTTCACTGGCAGGTTGAAATTCTATTATTATTTAACTGTCATTAATTCTTCCGTGTGCAGTGATTTGTACCCAGGTTCTAATTTACAGAGGTGGCTCTATAATCCTAGGCAAAGAGGGTTGAATACTTACAGATTCTGAGAGATGGAGTCACCATGTCACCCAGGCCTCAGGAGCAGACAAGGGAAGGCACAGGCCACCGAGGTTTGGCTAGTTTGAATATTTGCTGTAGCCTTTGCCCTTTTTCATGGAGTTCTTGTCTGGCACCTGGGTGGAGGTTACTAAGGACAGAGGAAACTCCAGATTGGTGTGATGGGTTTCCCCATGTGACTTCTCATCCTGAAGGTTTCTGGGGATCCTCCATGGTCCCTGCTGTTCAGAACCTCCCACCCTCCAGGAGACCGGACAGGGCCATTGTGCAGCCAGGCTCTGTGTCTTGCAGTGGACAGAGAATGAGGCATTCTCTCTTTGGAAAGTTCCAGATAAAAGTGATTTCCCATTAGTAGACTAAGAGCTCATCTTGGAAGGGAAGAGAAACATCTAACAAGATTTGGAGCTCCCCCCTCCCCCGCCAAAAAAAGAGCTTAGTGTGTTCAAAGGAGGGAAAATAGCTGTTTAGCTGAAAGGTATTGGGGGGTGGTAGGGGGCAGGGCAGTAGGCGTCTATTGGCTATGCTGTGGTGATTAGGGGGACCAGAACTCACTGTCTGTCTGTCTGTGTCTCTGTCTGTTTGTCTTACTCTTGCTCTCATTTTCCTGCTGTGTGTGGGCATGTATATGTACATATGTGTGTGCATGCTCAAGATTAGGGCAGGCTGTCTCTCCTCTACCGTAGCAGGTAGACCTTTAAGATGACCACAGTGTTAAAAGCACCATATTGTCACAGGCCAGTTCCTGTTGCTTTCAAGACTGTGTCAACCTAGAGCTTGTACAGCAGGCAGGACACATTCTCCTTGAAGACAAGCGTCTATGCTTTGTTTGCTGTACCTTACCTGTTTGCTCTGTTGGCCACTATTATAGTAGATTCCCCACTAGGTTCAGGGATGGCTCAGGCACATCCCTGCCCTTGAAGATCTCAGTGTCCCAGTAAAAAGAATGGACAAAGCTGGACATGTACACCTTGGTGTACACCTTGGTGTGTACACCTTGAATTCCTACACTCAGGAAAGAGCTAAACAGTGGGCAGACTTGGGTCTTCAGCCTCCCTTCTCCATCCTTGCCAACAGCTACTTCTCCAGACTGTCCCTTCCTTGCACCCAAGCCTGGGCAATTACCACCTGCTCCTGCCACAGACATTTAGGAAATGCTGGTGATTAGCGATTGTTATTGTGGTAATTAAAATTCCCTGGGAACAGCTTGGCTAATATCCATCAGTATCTGCAGTCAGGTTGGCCGTGAGCTGAAATGGTAATGAAAACCTCGAAACCCAGCACAAAACAGTGGTACATTAAATGCTGCCAGACGCCCCCTACAAACACCATGGCAGCCGTGTGGGTCTTTTCTCATTAAATGGTATTTTCAAGGCTGGCTGCTTTGCTGGCCTTATCACAGCAAACCACACATGGGGAGCAGCAACACTCAGCTTCTCCAGAAGGTAGTATTCTCCTATTTGTGGACCTAGGCCGGGTGGGGGCTTGTGCCCACAGAGGGCTTGTCCTGGCCCTGTTCTTGGGGAGGGGCCAAGTGCTGGTGTCAGGCAGGGAGTGATGAGCCTGGATGCCCTGGGCAGAAGTCACACGGTTGGATGCTATTGTTGTGCAGGTTGTAGAATTGGAGGGGGAGGTAAGAGAAGGTCAGGATGTATATGGACAGGCATGGATAGGATTGCTGCTCAGAACCTGGCCCAGCTGGCATTCCCACCACTCGCCTCACCAGACTTGCTCAGCCATGTGGAAGGTGATTTCCAAAATACTGACAGTGCGTTTTGTGGGCGTGTGCACAGGCATGTATCCTGTGTTGAGTGATGCACCTGTGCTCCAGACCCTCTGATGGGGGAGGGGGCTCAGGAATTGCTGCTCCCCACACAAGTCCAGTATCCCAACCATTCTGAGTGGCAGGGCAAGCCAGTGGAGCATCCACCTGGAAGACAAGTGACAAGATTAGTATCCGACCAGAATCTTTCACAAATGACCGTTCCATTGGCTAGCTGCAGACCTGCCCACAGACCTGGGGAGACACAAGCCTGGCCGGCCTGGAGGGCTGTGCACATGGAGCAGGGATACTGGGATGAAATTGATATGATTTGTATAGAGTTTGGGGGGTTGAATAGCCCCCCCCAAAAGGTAAACTCCTGGCAGTGCATGCTATTCTGTCTTGTAGTTCAGAACCTGTGTTCCTTATCCCATCTTCATAAAGCACTTTGTTGATGAGAGTGTTTTGAAGGGAGGTGGGGTGGAAATGGGTTGTTGTGGTAGATGGTTGGGCTGAAGCATGGGTTCTGGTGGCTGTGCCAGGGAGCAACAGAAAGGGCACCATCGGGGAGATGTCTGGGGGAGGAGGGCAAGGCTAGATGTTTCTCCTCATTCCTCTTTGAATCTGAAATAAGTCCATTTTGTCAACAGTAAGAACTTGGGTGAGGGACTGGAGAGATGGCTCAGTGGGTAAGAGCATTGGCTTCTCTTCCAGAGGACCAGGGTTCAATTCCCAGCCCCCACATGGGCAGCTCACAACTGTTTGTGACTCCAGTTCCAGGGGATCTGACACCCTCACACAGACATGTATGTAGGCAAAACAACAATGGACATAAAGTAAAAATAGGTTACATATAAAAAAAACTGTTTTAAAAATATTTTTAGGTGGAACTACCAGGTAGGTCACTTCCTAGGCTGAGGACATGGCACAGTGGCAGAGCACTTTGCTGGCATCCTAGACCACTTCCTTAGGGAGGTGACTGACCCTGTGGGTTAGGATATGTTCCCAAGCACTCACAGCCATCAAGTCTGTTGTTTAACCAGTGTTTACCGAGCATCTACTCAAGGTTGACATGTGTTAAGAACTTGAAGGTATAGTAGTGAGCAGACAGCCATGGCTCTCCCTTCTGGGTGACAGCCCAGTGGGGGAGACAGCTCAATTTAAGGACCAGCCAAGAGGTGCAGGTGACCCCAGTGTCTATGAACACATAAACATTTGTACAGAATGCAGTGGAATACACACTTGGGACCAGCTCTAGCCTCCAACGGAATGCCGCAGAATGTGTGAGCCTCGATGACTGCGCTAAGTGAAATGAGCCAGATTCCACAGGCTAGCATCTAGATGCTTCCACTGCAACAGACGAACTTACAGAGAGAAAGTAAAAGGTGGCCACCAGGGGCTGAAAGACAAAGAGGGACAGCGGGGTGGCTCTGTTGTCCATCCTGTAGCACCTACGTTTGGTGCCCTCAAGACCCAGCAATGCCTCTCCCATGGAGATTGCTCCTAAGTGAAGTGTACAGACTCAGGGGATCTGCCCTGAGTGATTCTGTACACATGGTGATATTCTCTTTCCTGGGCATCTCATCTAAACGTGTAGATGTACCTTGGATCTCTGAACATGATCAAGGCTATAGCCAACAATAAACTCATAAGTATACTGTGAAGAGACCTAGCCCAGCTCCCAGGCGTGAAACAGTGGGAACAGGTCCAGTGTCATCAGCAGGGGCTGGATTCATTAGGCTGAACCTTAACACAGCCAACCTGATTTGGGAGGTGAGGGATAGACATTGCAGTGTTGGTGGAGACTATTTCTTACTAACACAGAACAACTGACATGATACATGGTGGGGAAGAGGCCAGCCTAGATGCATGAGACCCTGTCTAAAAAAATAATATAATGCTGTGTTGACTTTAGGCAAGCAGTTGAACTTGTTGAAGCCTCAATTTTCCCATCTGGAAAATGGGGTTGATAGCAAAGCTTCCTTGAGAAACCTTTGGCAACATATGCCCTGGGAAGAGGGGAGGAAACTGCATCCTTGTATTTTGTGGATTTTAGACCAGTGTGTGCTACTACCTTAGTCTGTTTTCTGTTGTGGTAACAAAACACCTGAGATGGAGCAATCAATCCCACAGTCTGGGGCTAAGGAGACCCCTTGTCTACTGGGAGAACTAGCTGTACCTCCCTCAGCAAGTGCCGGGTGCGGTCAGCTTCATGTTGTTCAATTTCTACAGCAGACATGGGGGTGTGGAGTGCTAGGTAAGGATGGGGTGGGGTGCAAGGGGTGCAGGTTAAGATGGGGTGGGGTAAATATGGGGGACGTGGGAGTACAGGGGAAGTATGAGATGTGGGGTGTGTGTGTAAGTGCAAGGTGGGTACAGGGTTGTGTGTGTGTGGGTGTGTGTGTGTGTGTGTGTGTGTGTGTGTAAGGTGGGTACAGGGTTGTGTATGTGTGTGTGTGTGTGTGTGTGTAAGGTGGGTACAGGGTTGTGTATGTGTGTGTGTGTGTGTGTGTGTAAGGTGGGTACAGGGTTGTGTGTGTGTGTGTGTATGTGTGTGTGTGTGTGTGGTGGGTAGAGGGATTGTGTGTGTGTGTGTGTGTAAGGTGGGTACAGGGTTGTGTATGTGTGTGTGTGTGTGTGTGTGTGTAAGGTGGGTACAGGGTTGTGTGTGTGTGTGTGTGTGTGTGTGTGTGTGTAAGGTGGGGAGGGGGGTGTGTGTGTGTGTGTGTGTGTGTGTGTGTGTGTGTATGCGTGTAAGGTGGATGGAGGGTATTTGCCCATAGAGAATAACGTTGTTCGTACTTGTCACATAGGGTGACCACAGTGATTACAACCATGGCATCTATGGGGTGGCTGCCCTGCACTTAGTGCAAGGCTTTGACATTTTAAGTTCACTCGTGGGTCTGATCCTCGTGGCCACTCTGTGAGACAGTACCATCCCAGATCTGCCTGCTGGTGGGGAAACTGAGGGTCCATGAGATCCAGTGTGTCCAAATCACACAACAGCTGGTGATGGCCCCAGGACTGACTCTGAATGTCTGTGTGGAACTCTCCAAGCCTGGCTTTTCTCCGGGAAGGTGACCCCAGTCCCCCCTCGCTCCATCTCTCCTTACTCAGTATGCTGAGCACTTCCCCTCCATAGGAAAGAGATTATGCAGCTCTTGGCTGTTTCTGAAGTAGGCATTAAGGGTTTGGGGGGCCTTATCTCAGTTACTACTCTGAATTCTAATATGAGGCTCTTGGAGATTCCAGTCTTTCCATGTCTGTACAGAAACCCACAAGGGAGAGCTTCCAGATACTGTGTCATGGCCTAGCCTGGCTGTTCCTTTAGCCTCTGTCACCCTTCCCAGAGCTCTGGGAGGAAGACACCAGCGGGATGCTAGACACAGTACTGGGCACTCCCAGCTTGGGAGACATGACTTTGCTTCACCAGTGAAATGAGAAAAGCTCAGAGAGGCCTATACTCACCAGCTTGGGAGACATGACTTTGCTTCACCAGTGAAATGAGAAAAGCTCATATATCCCTATACTCCCCCAACACTGCACAGCCAGTGTGCACGGAATCTGGGGTTGGTTCTGCCTTGATCAAACGACTACTTGAGTCATTTGATTCTTCTGCCATTGATTCTTCCAATGGCAAGCGAGAAAGGGAAGCCATCCTGGAGATGACAGGGCTCAGAGGGATTCCTAGACGTTTCTCTGACTGTCATTCCTATTCTGGACAAGGGTGGACACCCTCCACTTCTAGGGATCCATCTAGCTTTCTGGGTAGCCTTCTCAACCAGCCCTGGGGTGATCATTTCATTTCTTCCCACTTGAGATCTTCTCCAAGGAGAAGAAATAGAGCCCAGCCAACATCATCCCTCTCCTCCCAGCAGCTCTGAGAATCCCTGATGGCTGTGTGGAATAGAGGGGGCTCATAGGAGGCCTAGGCCCTCAAAAGCACAAAATGGAGGTAGAAAAGACAGAGGAGATATTATGCTTGTGCTCTGGGAGCAGCCACACCAAGCCTGAGATACTGTGGCACTCCTGGGCTTCTCTGCTGAGGGACAATGCTATGAACCAGAGGAATGCTCTGTAGGAGCTAGTTTAGAATAGTGAGGGACCAGGGACATTCTCCTTGAGAAGCTGGGGCCCCAGCATGGCATCATGGGAGGCTGCATGACTGGTGGGCACTGGATGAGCTGCTTACAGCTGCTTGAAACTGGACAGGTCTGTCCTATTCAGCCCCAGCCTCAGCCCCCATAGATAGAGAAGGTGCCGGTGAGGCAGCTGGCAATGGGGGTCCCAGCCCAGGTGACTGGGTCAGGAACCTAAGCACTTCCTGCTTGTGAGCATTTGTGTGCTAGAAGTGGGGAAGGATAGGGCTGGGCAGGAGGTAGCTAGGCAGGCTCTCGGGTTCTGGTGGGTGACGGGATAGACACAAGTAACAGTGGATGATTTTCATAGCATTCCTTACAGGCTCTAAGGCATCACCCTGCTGCGATCCTAGTGTGCAGAGACAATGTGGGGCCAGTTTTAAAATAGGTGTGGAGGTGAGCTGAGCGTGGCAGTATATATAAGCCTTCTGGAACTTGTGAAGTGGAAACAAAAGGATAGGATGCTCCAGACCAGCCTCGGCTACACGCAGGACCATGGATGGATGGAGAGTTCATAGGACTTTCTGCAATGTGTCCATTCTGGGTCCACTGTAGCGCGTTGGCTTAAGAGGACTGAGGAGGGGCTGGAGAGATGGCTCAGAGGTTAAGAGCACTGACTGCTCTTCCAGAGGTCCTGAGTTCAATTCCCAGCAGCCACATGGTGGCTCACAACCATCCGTTATGAGATCTGGTGTCCTCTTCTGGTGTGCAGATATACATGGAAGCAGAATGTTATATACATAATAAAGGAAATTTAAAAAAGGACTGAGAATAATTCTCATCTGTACTCTGTTCTGGATCTCATGTCCTCCCATCACCTCATTGGCAAGCAAGAAATGAGGAACAGGGTTGCGTGGAGAGTAGCACTCAGGGAGGGAAGGCCACTCCACTTCCTATACTGTAAGCACGTGTTTCTCTTTCACAGGTCTGGAAGAGGTCGGGGGCCTGGTTCTACAAAGGGCTCCCCAAGTACATCTTGCCTCTGAAGACACCAGGCCGGGCTGATGATCCCCATCTCCGACCTTTGCCTGTGGAGCCCATAGAACCCCAGCCTCAGAGTGCTGAAGCCAGCCGTGTCTACACATGGGCCCGAGGGAGAGGTAAGGACTCTGCGTCCACCGTGGGTCTCTGGGAGTCCTCACCCCCAACCTGCTCCTGAACAGAGTGCATCTCTGACCACAATTAGCAGGGACACAGCCAGAGGGTCCTTCAGGAACTGCCATGAGGAGCACTGTGGCTCTTTGCAGGAAAGGGATGCCACTCCAAAAGCTTTTGTCTTTTTTTTAATTTATTTTTATTTTATGTGCATTGGTGTTATGTCTGTGTGAGGGTGTCAGATCTTGGAGTTACAGTTGTAAGCTGTCATATGGGTGCTGAAAATTGTACCCAGGTATACTGGGAGACTATCCAATGCTCTCAACAGCCCCAAGCCATATCTCCAGCCCCAGCTTTTGTCTTTTTTTTTTTTTTTTTTTTTTTTTTTTTTTTTGCTTGTGGTGCTGAGGATGGAAGCCAGAGCCTTGTACACAGTAGGCAAGCATCTCCCCAGGGAGCTGTCCCCATCCCTTAGTCAGCAGGCGTATTCCAATAGATCATCTTTCTCAATCAGGCCTGCAGCACCTTTCTCTCACCTGTTTCTCAAGAGAGGGACACTTCTTGCTCTCTAGGTCCTAATGAGCAGGGTGACCTGGTGTCTGTGGTGACTAGCCAGAGGTGAGCGTGCCCTGCCATGATAGCAGCCAGTGCTGTAGAGGGCTCTGTGCTGTCTTGTGGGTGCTTTTGTGTTTCTGGTTTTCTTTTCCAAGTCCCTCCTCTCACAGAAGCTGTAGGACATTCTCAAAGTAGACATTCAATAGCGCCATCTTCTAGCCACAAAGCCTGGGGGCAGAGTTGGGCTCCAGGGCAGGCCCTTCCCCTTTGTGTCTGGCTTCTTCTGCCCTGCAGTGGCCACACTTAAACAGCCAGAGGGGTGAGGGGTCGCCTGATGATGGCTTGTCTCAGAAGAGGTGGCCTCAAGATCACAGGCCTGGCAGCAGCTTTGAAAAGGCTTTGGGAAACGACCTGACTATCTTTATGTCATGTGGGCCGTTCTTTCCTTATCAAAAGGGTAACACGTGTTTGTGATAGAAAAGTAAAGGTCACCAAGCAGCAGGCTGCAGAAGGTGAAACCCCTGTGAGTCACCCTTGCAAACACGTTAGGCACTCGGTGTCCCTTCCCAGGTAATTCTCATCCTTGTGGCACTTGGCACTTTTCACAGCTGTCTCTCCCTCCTTTCTGATGCTGTAGCTCTCCCTGGCATGACTCAGTCCTGTGTCTAGCCTCCCTGATGTCACGGACAGGTGTGTGGGGTGCGGGGCTGAATGCAGGGGAGACCTGGAATGTGGACTCCTTGTATATAGGGGGAGTGGGGCACTGCCTCACAGAGATGCCATGGCCATGGAACCTGAGGAAGTAGGCATCTTTCATCCTGTCCCTCTCTCTGGAAATACCCTTATCCAGTCTAAAGAAAAGGATGCAACCTCAGAAATGGAAGCCAATGGACCAGCAAGTTCAGTATGTTGCTAGGGTCGGCTGTACAGAGAGGCCTCTGGCCTGTGTAAGCAGCTGGGACCCAAGTGCCCTCTGTAGAGTCCTCACCACACACCTGCTCCTAGCCAGCACATACATCCATACAGTCACAGGCACCCATGTTCACATGCATGTAGATAAGCATATATTCTCACACATGTACCCTGGGCACCTCCTGGGCTGTGGAGACACAGATGGCCTTTTGATTGCACAGCTGAGGAGGCCAGCATCCCCACACACTTGGAATCAGCAGGGAGCACAGAGGCTCTGCAGGAACTGGCTCTCCCTCTGAGGTAGTGAGGTGCGGAGCCCTTGGGCTGCTGTGTCAGGCCTGTTGGAGCCCCATGGTCCATGAGTGACTAGCCACATAAAGGCCGACAGGCAGCCAGCAGGGCAGGGAGGAAGGACTGCTGGTGATCATCTATGCTCACACTGAGACAGGCCCCTAGGGTGGTGTTAGATAGGGCAGAGTTTAACTCGGGAGGAGAGCCTAGGAAGGAGGACAGCGGAGTCATGTCCATGCAGAAACCACAGTGCAGGGTTGGCCAAAAGAGCTGCAAAGGAACCTGATCTGATAGCGTGTGTTCTTCAACAGCTGTGGCCCGGTGCTGGGCAGCTTCTGTGCTCTCTCTAGTCAATCCCTGCTTTCTGGCTAAGGGCAGTTGCCTGACTGCCCCAGGTCTGGCCACGTCCTTACAGGGCATAGCCCTGGCTAATGTACGTGTGTGAGACTCGACCATCTGATATGTGGGGACCATCCTTACCTAAGGACACTCTTGAGCTAAGGACTGAGATGAGGGACATTTCAGTCCCTCCCTGTGTCTTCATGCTAGCTCATGTAACCTCAAGGTAAGGTTCATGGCAGTCTATGGGCAGGGCTCTGTCACTCCGGCCTCAAGGAATGCTGGGAGTTGGCAGAGGCTGCTGTTCTGGCCCCTGTGTAAGCTGTTGGACTCCAGGGAGCAGACAACCCTCAGCAGGCAGCTGTGAGAGTGTAGTGTGGGGCTGTCTCCATCTGTCCAGTCCTCTGAAAGTGCTTTCCAGCTCTGAAAGTGACTTCCCCACCCCCATCCTAGGTCACCATCAGGTGCCCAAGGGCTTAGCAGCTGGCTGGGCTCATAGCTTTGGCTGTGACCTAGGGCAAGCTAGCACTCATAGCTCTTGCAGCACCACAATTGGGCCGACTGAACTCAGGAGGGGTCAGAGTAGTCATCACTGCAGGTACTATTCCTACCACCCTGAAAAGTCCTGTGTCAAGGGCCACATCTGTCCTCGGCAGGCCAGTACCTCAGCACATTGCACAGGAGCAGCATAGAAGAGATGCTCCATAGATACACGAGTGAATGAGTAAGCCACATGCCTGCTTCAGAGCCTGTGGAGGGAGCTTTCATTACATCACAGGTGCCTCTGGTCCATGAACTGCTAGATGGACCCCAGAGATGCTTGAAGGCTGATAAAACCCCTGCCCTCAAGGAAGCTCTTTTCCTGGCCCCAGGCCTTCAGGGACTCTAGGCTACCATCTTCCTCCTTTCAGCCTCTGGCTGTGACCCTTTTCCCCACCCCCCATCCCAAGCCTTGGCCTTGGCCTCCAGCACCTATGCATCCCACCCCTTCCTCATTTCCTTTCTTGTGCCCTGTTGGAAATATAGAGGGTAGCAATAGGGATAGGTTATAAATGGTTTTGGTTTTAACGATGCACATATGTGGAGGCTTGAGGTCTACTTCATGGGATGTATTCTCTCCTTCTACCTTTATGTGAGTGTCAGGGATTGAACCCAGGTCACCAGGCTTGCACAGCAAATCCATGGAGACCTCTCACTGACCCTAAGCTATGAACTTTTCAATACACACAGGGATCATCAAGAGTTAATTGATGTTTGCGGGATAGATGCCCTCCCATCCTCCTCCCTGGTTTTCTTTATTAATTTTTAATAATATAAGAATACAAGTTAAATAATTCAGCAAAGATTGAAAATCAGTAATGTCTTCTGTTTGTCCTTATGACATAGCCCTTGACCAAACACCCACTGAATTTAAGCATTTAAATTTGCTTTGCAGCAAAAATAAACAGGCTCTTTGTGGCCTGTGACTGTTGCTTTTTGCAGTTGCATTTATTTGTTTGTTTGAGACTGTCTCACTATGTAGCCCTAGACGGCCTGGAACTCTTTGTGTAGACCACCAGGCTATCCTCAAAATCATAGAGATTTGACCACCTCTGTCTCAAATGACAGGACCAAAGGCATGTGCCATCATGCCAGGCCTGTCACAAGAATGTCATGGGCTCCTTCCAGGTCATTGGATCTAGGTTTTCACTTTTGAGGCTGAATAAAATCCCATGAACACTGGGTTATGTTTCCATTGTTCTCTATCAATGGATCTTAATGTTGTTTTTAAATTTTACTATGAAATATCTTTAGGCCTGGAAGCTGTGAACTGAAGCTTGGGCCATAAAATAACCTAGTCATCTATACTGGGGCGGTGAGGCTATACATCTTTGCTGCCTGTGATAATGTTGAGGGTTCTAACCGGGCCAGTACACAGGGAAGAAAAACAACATTTCATTATTTTTATGTCCAATCCCGGTAGGTCTTCCTACGCCTATTATTTATTGATTTTAATTCAGATGTCCTGTTTTTAAGCTGCTAGAGGGACCTAGCGCTTGGGAGGTAGAGGTGGGAGGCTTCTGAGTTCAAGACTGGCCTCAGTTTCGTATGAAGTTCTAACGAGTTCCAGACTAGCCTAGGCTGCAGAGTAAGCCCTTGTCTCAAAACAAAAGAAAATCTTATTAACTGATAAGGCCCTGAAGCCATGCTCAATCAAAATTCAAATCAAGAATTTCCATCATTTGCTCATACTTGGTAGTTTGGCTTTGTTTCATTATTAGTTGCATTATTTTTCCAGGTGCTTGGGATAAATCCCAGCCCTTGAGTGAACAAGACAAGTGCTCTGCCACCTTCCTATACTCCAGTCTTTATTAGGTGTTTTTGTTTTATATTTATTTTTTGTGTATGTGTGTATCATGAGGGGACACAGTGCCCACAGAGGTCAGATCCCAAGTAACTGGAGTTACAGTTGTGAGCTACCATGTGGGTGCTGGGAACTGAGCTCAAGTCCTCTGCAAGAGCAGCCAGTGATCTTAACCACTGAGCCATCTCTCCTACCCCTTATTAGTTATTAATTTAGTAAGGCAGTCTCTTACTATTGGAAATGAACAAAAGGAACATCTTCTTCGAAGTTGATGTGTACACCAAGAACCCCACCAATTCCAGCTAAATGCCCTAGGAGTAATAAAGAAATTTAGAAGTTGACAAGACTTAAGATAAATCAATTTAGCTGGGCAGTAGTAGCACACAACTTTAGTCCCAGCACTTGGGAGGCAGAGGCAGGCGGATCTCTGAGTTCCAGGCCAGCCTGATACAGAGCAAGTTCCAGAACAGCCAGGGCTACACAGAGAAAACCCTGCCTCAAAAAACCAAAAAAAAATTTTTTTAAAGATAAATCAATTTCAAAAATCAATAGCTTTAATCTGTA